AGGGCGGGCTTTGCGTGTTGCAGTTACGGTGGTTCCTGCCCGCAGTTCAGTTGAGGGAGCCTCGCATCAACAGACCCCATCTAGGGTTTAGGGTTTAGTTTAGGGCTTCGGGTGCTTCTGCAGCAGATACTGAGGAGGAGGCTTCGGCTGCGTAGGCGGGAAACGCCTCGGGGCAGACAGCAAAATCGCATGTTCCGCATCAGGTCGACTTTGAGAGGGGTGGGCTGCGGGCCATCTGTTTAGGGTTTAGGGTTTAGGGTTTAGGGTTTCTACCGGATTATTGTTGAGGGTTTTGGGGCTCAGGGATGTACGATTCAGATACTTTTTGTAGATCAGCTGAAGCCATGACAGACGCTTCAGCCTCTTGACGTCGCAGCTGAGATTGCAGTAACCATGTTTTAGGGTTTGGGGTTCAGGGTTTGGGGCTCAGGGTTTAGGGGTTGGGGCTTAGGGGGTCTACCTTGCATCGAACTGACAGAAACCCTAAACCCTAAACCCTAAACCCTAAGACCTGCTTGTTCAACAAGCCGACCTGAGCCTGGAAACTCACGACTTTCAACACTGGAGATAAACAGATCCGCGAGCCCCAAACCCCATGAACCATGTGAACCTCTGAACCTTATGAGCCCGAAAATCCTGAAAACCCTGAACCCTTAACCCCTAAACCCAACCCCCTAAACCCCTAAACCCTAAACCCTGCCCTAAACCCTAAACCCTAAACCTTTGGGGGGAAGGGTTCTGGAAGGGGCTTGGGGGAAGAGGGGGGAACCCTAAACCCTAAACCCGAAACACCCGAGCCGCTCGGGTCGGGGCGTAGATTCCGCCGCTGGGCGTCATCGCAGCGCCCGCAAACTTCCGCTCCCCCGGCAACGTGAAGCCAAGGAGGACCTGTCTCTTGCTGTTTATGGGGTCTAGGAGGTTTAGGGTTTAGGGCAGGGTTTAGGGTTTAGGGTTTAGGGTTTAGGGTTTAGGGTTTAGGGTTTAGGGTTTAGGGTTTAGGGTTTAGGGTTTAGGGCTTAGGGCTTAGAGCTTAGAGCTTAGGGTTTAGGGTTTAGGGTTTAGGGTTCAGGGTTTAGGGTCGGGGGTTCTCATAGGGTGAGGATTGAGGCTTGAGGGTTTAGAGCTTAGGGAATGAGACTGCAGGCTGCAGGGGCCTAGTTCATGCTACAATAAGCGATAATATTCTGATGGTAGCAATTGAGGCTGCATTAGGGGGGTCTACTTTTGGGTTCGAGTTTGAGGGTTTAGGTCTTGTGGCTTAGGGCAATTAACCTTGGAACGCCACACGCTCTAAGCCCACATTTGCACGGCAATGCGGGTCAACGTTTAGTGAGGTGAGGGCTCAGGGTTCATGACTCAAGCCCAAACCCTAAACTCTGAACCCTAAACCCTGCACCCCACATCGCACGGGGTTTAGGGTGTTTCGGTTCTGGGCGTAGGAATACTTTGGACTAGACTCTTAGAGGATTGGGTGCCAGAGAATGGTGACCCCGCACACGTAGGTAATGGGTTTGGGGTTTGGGGGCTCTCCGCCCAACTCGTTTCTCGCCCCCGAACCAAAGATGGTGAGGGTGGGGATCGAGGGCGCAACGCCCCGGTATAAGGTTGTGGCGCTTTTGCAGATGGTATGGCCCCCCCTCCCGCCCGAGGGGGATAGAAGCCCTATACTCCATACTGTAAACTGCAAAATCCAGAACCCTGCGCTACGCGCCGTAGCGTGAAACACACACATACACACACGCACACACTACTTATCCTAAACCCTAAGTGACATGAGCTCGCCTCCTCCACCACGTCCTGGGCCGGAGAGGAGCTAAACCCGGAACCTCAAAAAACCTAACTCCTATGAGGGCACGTGTCTGAAACTTGTAGGCAAGGGCCAAGAGGATTGCTCAAGCCGGCCGAGGTTGCTGGAGGCTTTGCTAGTTCATGGTTGGGATAGCATTAAAAAACTCAAATACCTATTCCTGATTGATCTTAAGCACCCTTAAAAATCTAAAATGCTACCCCCACAATGACAAAGTTTTGTGGTTGAGGGTCTAGGGCTTCTAGGGCTAAGGGTGTAGGTTGAGGGTTTAAGGGTCAAGGCTTTGGGGTTCGTCCAGGGTTAGTCTAGTGCTGTGGGGCTAAATGTAGGGTTTACGAGGTTGAAGGTTTAGGGCTGTAGGGCCAATTTAGGGTTCATAGGCCCAGGGCTTAGCACTACTTGAAGGGTCATGGGTAGTGACAAGCAAGGGGTAGAAGTACCCTGAATAAGACGATAACCAGTGAAACGTATAGTTACCTTACTTACAATCCCACTAAAGCCCAAAACCCTAAGCCCTAAGCCCTAAACCCTAAGCCCGAAACACCAAACCCTAAACCCTAGACCCTAAACCCTAAACCCTAAACCAAGAGTCGGTGCCGGATGCGTTGGGCGTGATTTTGAGCACTCGCTCTGCGTCGTCGGGCATAGCCTTAGGTCCGCTATGCCAAAGAGCCCAGAATAGGGTTTAGGGTTTAGGGTTTAGGGTTTAGGGTTTAGGGTTTAGGGTTTAGGGTTAGGGTTTAGGGCTTAGGGCTTGGGGCTTGGGGCTTGGGGCTTAGGGTTCTCATGGGGATTAGGGTGAGGGTTTAGGGTTTCGGGCGGCAGTTTTTAAGGGTGAACTAAACGGGACTGGGGCTGCGATCCACCAAACGCCAACCCGAGCGGAAAACCCGAATCCTTGCAGAGGAGGACTAAGGGTTTATAGGGTTTAGGACCCAAGACTCCAAACTCCAAATCCCTAAGCCCGAAACCCAGAGCCTTCAAAATCCCTATCTCATCAAGCTTGTCGCTAACTCCTTTAGCAGCTCGGGATCTCGGCCCTCGTGGGCAAGAACCCCTGAATCAACATCACAAATCCCACTCATCCCTCAGCTCTAAACCATAAACCCTATAAACCCTATAAACCCTGTAAACCCTATAAACCCTATAAACCCTATAACCCTATAAACCCTAAAAACCCTATAAACCCTATAAACATCTATAAACCCTATAAACCCTAAACCCTGACCCCCCAAAACTCCAACAAGCCGAAGCCTGAACCCCAACCTCGGGCAGGTCGCGTAGATCGACTGGTCCAGGGCCAGGACTCCGGATCGCCTCAGGATCGGGCTTAAGGCTCGGCTGAGGGCTGGGTGGTAGGGTTTAGGGTTTAGGGTTTAGGGTTCAGGGTTTAGGGTTCAGGGTTCAGGGTTCAGGGTTTAGGGTTCAGGGTTTAGGGCTTCGGGCTTCGGGCAGAGGGTTGAGGGTTGAGGGCCGAGGGCTTGGGAAGTTTCGGGAGTTCTTGGGGTGTAGGGTTTCGGGGTTTAGGGTGTCGGCAATTTGCGGTTCTGGGCCTGGGCCTAGTATGAGAGCCTTGTGGCCTCAAGGTTCGATGCTTCACATCCCTGACCACGCCCAACTGCTCACCTCTCCAAGGTGATTCCTTTATGGGGCGCGCCCTGCACAGAATCTAGGAAACCCCGAAAGGGACCACATAGTATAGAGAGTTTAGCAGAAGTTGCCAAAAAAGAGCACGGAATCTGCGTCAACACCTGGAGGTTCGCCCTGGCCCTCTCTTTGCCAAGTTTGAAGCCCCTCATTCTCCCCAAGGCTTTCGGGTCCGCACCTGACACCTCTAGTTTCCAGGGCTTGGGGCCTAGGTCTTGGACTTTACGGGGGTTCACAACAAAGCTTAGAAGCATCCGCCCCTAAACCCTAAACCCTAAACCCTAAACCCTAAACCCTAAACCCTAAACCCTAAACCCTAAACCCTAAACCCCAGGAGCCGAGAGATGGGCCACTTGAAGAGGCCACCGCCCCAGGTAGGGCCGACGAGGTCCACGCCTCGATGGTGATGGTGGGAGAGTGTCCGTCTGAGGGGGGTTTAGGGTTTAGGGTTTAGGGTTTAGGGTTTAGGGTTTAGGGTTTAGGGTTTAGGGTTTAGGGTTTAGGGTTTAGGGTTTAGGGTTTAGGGTTTGGGGTTTAGGGTTTAGGGTTTAGGGTTTAGGGGCGTCTGGGGGGTTGAAGGGCATACAGGGCTCGTAGGGTTCTTCAAGGGGTATGGGGCTTGGCTAGGGCTTGAGGGTTGGGTGTTTTGGATGTAGGGCTCAAACCCCAAACCCCCAACCCCCAAACCCCAAACCTTAAACCCTAAACCCTCCTTCTTGCGAAGTCTAAGGATCTTGCCGACTCAGGTTTTTTGACGGTTCCGCCGCTTCAAGTGCCAACCCTCACTTCGCAGAAGCCCTCTGAGCTCGAAGGCCTGCAGGGGTGGTCGGTTTAGGGATTTTAGCTTTAGGGTTTAGGGTTAGGGTTTAGGGTTTAGGGTTTAGGGTTTAGGGTTTAGGGTTTAGGGTTTAGGGTTTAGGGATATAGGGTTTAGGACCTCAGGACGAGGCAGGGTCTTTTCTACAGGTCCGGCGATATGCCGATGTACCACAGGGGCCCTGCAAGCCGGGGGGGCTTAGAGTTGTAGGGCTTAGGGCTTCGATATTCGAAATTTAGGGTTTAACTTGGGATCTTCCCCCCATACCAACAGCCCTTGAAAGGGATTCTAATCGGGGTACTAGAATCCCGGTTAATTACTGCTAGTATAAGGGGGGAACATCCCAAAATTTAGCCTGGAATTCAAGCAGTCGCGTCAGCAGTAAGCCCTGGAAACCTTGGGGAGGCTTTGGGTTTTGGGAGGGTGTAGGGTTTAGGGTTTATCGGGGTTCGGGCTTGGGTTTAGGAGATGCAGGCTTGGGATGTCAAGCACCCTTGGTCATGAAGCTATCATGGCAATGCCACTCCGAAAAATGCCTCACTGTCACTTTCCATTCAGGCCTCCCCTTTAAGCATCAAAACTGGAGATCCGGTTGCTTCAGGGACCCCGTCAGCAAAAACTTAGGGTTCAGGGTTTAGGACCTAGATTGTTTAAAAAGCCTCAACCCCCTGCCGTTGTCGAAGCCTAACTGTGGGGGGGGGGGGGGGGGAGACGGGCTGAAGGAGGGCCTCAAACGGCTCCCCGGCTCAGGATAAAGTCCTCGGCTCACGGTCAGGTGTGCGGGGCCCCTTGCAACATCTCTCTTCAGGCTAACTAGAGCCCCATGAGCCACATGTTCAACTTGGCGCCAAGCCAGGAAGGCATACAAAGCCCCAAGGAGGCTCGGGGTTTAGGTTAGGGGTTAGAGGGGTTTAGAAGGTTACAAGTTAGCAAAATCGGCCCTCAACAATCCTAGGCTACGTTGCATCCTGGAGCTGGAGAAGCGCCAGAGTCTGATTGGCACATGGCATGACACTTACCACAAAACGCCGTCACATGATTGCGTGCAGAAATCTGCATGCCAGAACATTCCGCGCGCGTCACAGCCAAAGACCCCTGACCACATAAAACAGCTACTGGGACATGGCGCGGCGATGGTCTTGGCGACGAGGTCCGCCTCCTGACGCAATACGGGGGGTCCCCTAATATAGACCCCCAAATAGTAGGATCCCCGTTTCAAAAAGGACCCCAAATAGTAGGATCCCCTGTTTCAATGGACCCCAATAAGGTACCCCTACTTCCGGAAACCCCCATACGGGCGATACAAGGCTCAGGGCCTAGGGGCTTTGGGCTTTTCAGGGTGCCACAGGGTAGCCTCAGAACGCGTCTCAGAATCTTCCTGCGAGATTGTCCGCACAATACTTGTCTTTCTCTGGCAAGCCTCGCGGCAAAGCACGACGCCCTTCCGAGCAAGCAGAAATGAAGCTTGGAACTCTCGACTCCTGGGTTGGGCTAGAGGCAGCCCCGCGAGAACAGAGCGTAGGAGGTGGGCCCGCGAATCATGGCGGTACCGCCAGGCTGCTTCTCCAGCTGGAGCGTCTCCACTGCAAACTTGACAAGATCTTCATCGAACGTGTCTACCCGCAACATCTTTCCTTCGCACCGAGCTGCTGCGGCGGCCAGCAGCTTCTGAGCCATGGGTAAGTTGGGAGCCACGATTGGGCCCACCACTTTGCCTGTTCCGTGAGGCCCCCAATCTCCAAAGTCCCGGATCAGTGCAAATGCGTCATGGCCTTGGTCATGGGAGCTCAGCACTGCAGCTCCAGGACTTTGTGCAACCAGCGTCAGCAACATTGCCCGCTGCATCCCTGTAGCGAGAGAGTCCTGTTCAATCATCCGGGCCAGGTCCATGGGACTTTCTTGGACACCTTCCGCGTGCTCAGCTGCAACATCCTTTGCAACCATGCCCCTCGCTTGAAAGGTTTGATGGGTCTCTTTGAAGCCCAACTTCGAATACAGTCGGCGCCCCGCCTCACTTGAGATGAGATGCAGCACTCGGTTGGGTACCAATGCCATGACCTTCTCCGTCAGCGTGCGTCCAACCGACCTGCCCTGCCAATCCTTATGCACCTTGGTAGCCCAGTAACCATATTTTTTTAATACGGGCACCCGTTTTTTTTGGGGAGGTTGGGGATTCTATGATAAAGGGAACCTTGAACCCCAAAAACCGGAAAAGGGGTATGGACTGATTGCGCCATCAAGGCACAATGATCATACTCACGGTGGCTACGTCATTGCCAAAAGGAGTGGCCATGGCTGCGCCAACCACCTCGCCCTCGCTGCCTATGGCCACCATACCAAAGGAGACCTGTCAAGCGTAAGTGTGGAGCGTAGTAGGGCTTGCGGGTTATAGAGGCTTGGCAAATTGTCATTCATAGGGGTGTAGCTGACTGACAGGAAAAAAAGAAAGAAAAAACGCTCTGGGCCGGAGTCTTTGAGAAGATCTGACCTTCAACACTTGTTCCCAGTCCTCCTCTCGGTGTGGCCACTTCTCCTCTTTGCTCAAGGCGTGGGCACCCTTGATGTGGGCTTCTGTGAAACGCACATATGCAGGACCTTCCGCAGGACTGACCATGGCTGCACCCCGGGTTTCAAGTTCCTTTGGCGTGCATCTGGGTGGATGGCAACATTGTGATCCCTTTTTGGGTACCCAAAAATAGTAGGTGCCGTATAGTAGCGACCCATATGCCTTGAGGCAGACATGCCTTCCGAAGAAATGCGCCTCCTCTCTGCCCACTTACAGGTTTAGGGTTTAGGGTTTAGGGTTTAGGGTTTAGGGTTTAGGGTTTAGGGTTTAGGGTTTAGGGTTTAGGGTTTAGGGTTTAGGGCTTGAGCCTGAAGAGATCCGGCCTTCGTCGTCCTGAGCATGCCCACCAAGATCAACTTGCAGAAGCCCGAAACCCGAAACCCGAAACCCTAGACCCTAAACCCCATTATAACCCCTAAACCCTAAACCCTAAACCCTAAACCCTAAACCCTAAACCCCGGAGCAGCCAGGGCAATGGCAGCCATGACCCGCGCAAGTGGATGGGGCCAGCTCCATATCTTGCATGTGCAATGTCGTCCCAGCTTTAGCTCTCTTAACCCTATACCCTATACCCTAAACCCTAAACCCTAAACCCTAAACCCCAAGCCCTACACCCTTTTCGAACTCAGAATTTGCCCTAGTGACGGGATGCAAAGCACAGATGGCCGCACGCAGTGACGCGGGGACGCCGGGGACGAAGGGAACGTAGGGAGCGCGTCCCCTAAACTCATGCACCTTGGGATGTTCCCCCGTAATTATCCTGACAGTCCTTAGTCGGGCTTTTTGGTAAGGGGTGCTCTGATCCCTATTGTTAAGGACTCCGAGTATAAGGGGGAACATCCCAATCATGAACCCTTAAACCGCCTTCAACCCGCAAGCCCCCTCAAGTCTACAAAACAAGCTCAATGTTTTGTTGCGACCCTGAGCCCCCCCCCGCCCCCCATTATACGGTCGTTCTGGCCCTCATGGTATCCCCGCCCTAACCCCTTGCCCCTAAAATTGCTCTAAACCAAATCCGCTACTGTAAACCATATACGCCAGAAAAGCCCTAAACCCTTAATCCGCGGAAACCCTTTGTTGAAACCTAAGCCAGAACACCCGAGAGCCTACATAAACCATAAACTCGAAACCTCAACCCGAAAAGCCCTCTAACCCCTAAAACCCTGGATGCTACAAACCCTACATTTACAACACTAAACCTAAATCCTTACACCAACACGCGCTTACGAAAGCGCTGCCGTTTGGCGCGCCCTAAACCCTAAAGCCTAAGACCCTTAAACCATAAACCCCGCCTGAACCCCAATCCCTTCACCCCTTAACCCCAAACTCCTAAACCCTAAACCCCCGAACCCTGAACTTCTGAACTCCTAAACCACGAAACCCCAAACCATAATCCTAAACCCCTGAACCCCTGAACCCCGAAATCCCTAACCCTAACCCCTAAACCCCTTCTGATTCTGGGCTCAGGTTTTTGTCGGGGGCCTCTCTCCCGCCCTTGCTCGGGATGACTTTGTGACCGTCGCTGTGGCACATGCTGACGGGGTCATCATACCTTGTTTAGGGTTTAGGGCTTAGGGTTTAGGGTTTCCCAATTTGGGAGTTTAGGGTTTAGAGTTTAGGGTCATCATACCTTGCAAAGACTTCTCTACCATTTGCTTGTTGCCCTTATAAGGAAGAGTATTGCCGCCTCTGAAGCAAACAGGGTCATTATACCTTCAGCAAAGACTTCTGGTGGCGAGATTTCGTTTAGGGCTTAGGGTTTCCCAAATTTGGGAGTTTAGGGTGTAGGGTTTAGGGTATGTGCTTATTGCCCTTACATGGAAGAATATCTATTCTTCTTTTGTCGGTTCTTAAGCAAACAGTCATCATACCTTGCAAAGACTTTTGGTGAGGGTTGAGGAGTTTAGGGTTTAATTAGGGTTCACCCAATTTGGGAGTTGAGGGTTTAGGGTTTGGGAGTTTAGGGCACACAATGACCTTGGAGGCTTCCGGACTCGTACGTTCCTAGAAGGAATTCAGGCCAGAACCTCCCCCGCCGAATCTTGCGCCTGCCCCCCCCCGCCCCACTCCCCTTGCAAAGAAACATCCTCAAAAATGAAATGCACGAACTCACAAGAGCTAGTGTCACTCTTCTTGATGGCATAGTCGTACAATCCTTTTTTGAACAAAAGCCATCCAGGCCCCCCAGCCTCCCCCAGAATCCCTAAACCCTAAACCTTACACCCTTGTGCAACCAGCGGGCAGCGCCAGCAGCGGGAGCTCAGGATTCGAGTCTTCCTTCCCGGAGATGTGGAGGCTTCCTGGCGAAATTCAGGCTGTGGGGTTTCAAGCCCAAAACCCTGAAACCCTGAAACCCTGAGACCCTGAGACCCTGACACCCTGAAATCCTGAAACCCTAAAACCCTAAATCCTAAGACCCCAAAAGCCGTAAAACCCCAAAAGCCCTAAAACCCAAATCCTAAAGTCTAGGAGTCAGTGCGTTGAATGGGGGGGCCCAAACACCACGTAAACATAGGGATTCTACAAACATGGCTTTCCAGAATCCCCTTGTAGGGGGCCCTGATACGCCAAAAATAGAATCCTTACGTTCATGTGGTTTTTGGGCACCTAATTTTAGGCTGTGTTTTTCTTGTTGGGGGGGGGGGGGGGGGGGGGGGGGGGTGGAGGGGTTGGTTTGGGTTTAGGGTTTCTTCCTGTTATTTTGTGGGAAGAGAGGGTTAGGGTTACAGGTTTAGGGCAAACAGTTTAGGGGAACTAAAGGTGAGGGTTTAGGGCAAACAGTTTAGGGGAACTAATGTGAGTACTACGGCCCCCAACAAAGGGTGGATTTGGGGCTCCATTCCAGAATGGCACGGCCAATACAAACCCTAAACCCCAACCCTTAAAAATATAACCCTAAATAAACCCAAAACAACTAAACCCCAAAGGCAATATGCAAAGCCCCAAACCCCTGAACCCTTAACCCTGAAACCCTGAAACCCCTAAACCCTACACCCCGAAAACTCCTGCCGTGCTCTGAGGGCGCGGCTCATCGGCAGCTTCTCCGCGAACAGTTCGGGGCGCTGCTCCACCCATCCGGGTCCTCTGGCAACCCTAAACCCTAAACCCTAAACTCTAAACCCTAAACCCTAAACCGTGAGCACAAGCGACCCATGTGACGCAA